CGGAAACTTGCGGGGCCCCGCAGCGGGGTCACTGGGCCGCGTGGCCCGCGGTGACGGTGCGGCAAGGCGGTGGAGGCTGAAGTGGGGAGTCCGAGCTGTGCCCCCCGCGCCCGCCGCCGGAGCGCCCGCATCCTGATCCCTTCCACGGCGCCCGCCCGTGGCTCTGCGCTCCTATTGACATTCCGCTCGTGTCGCGTTCAGAATCCAATCTGCTCCGGCAGCGGGAGAAGGGGAGAGGGCGACTGGCCCGCTCTTGCCGCGTGCGGGGTTGCCCTCATCCCCTTCTGCGGCCCTGCGAGAGACCCCCCACCCGTGCGCTGCCGAAGCGGCCGGGAGGCGGTGGCGACAACAAGTGGCCGGATTGGGAGGCTCAGTCTCGATAGCGAAGCCTGGAAGGGAAAGGCAGAGGCCGGAACCCAAGCCTCCCCCGACCCTAGTCCTTTGCCTTTCGGGAACAGGGACCGCAGGCAGTTGGCTATTGAAGATCGGCGCAGCTAGCAGGGACAGGGGTTCCGGGACTGAGTGTCCTGGGGCGCAGTGAGACCCCTAGGGCCTCCCTAGCTCTTTCTCTGCTGAGATTGGGGGCGGGGGTATGCTCATGATTCCCCTCCCCCAGGCCTCTTGAGGCCCCATATGGAGTGGAGTCGGGGACTCTGAGCTGATGGGAATCTTGGTCCCTTAGGATGTTTGTCGGCTGCTGGGGGAGGGGCTGATAATACCCAGAGAATGGACCTGTCTCGATCTCTGGAGTCGAGGGGTTTCAGCTCTGGGGTCTCATCTGAGCCCATAGGAGTGCGTTGGAGGGAGCGACACTGGAAAAGACAATAGTGAGAGCCGGGGCGGGGGCGAGGGGCATCTGGAAAGTCCTTCCTCAGCCCAGGCCTGGTCTGGGGCAAATTTGGGGCGAGTAGACTGTGGAAAGAGAAAGCAACTACCATGCTCACTGCACCACAGGCCACCAGACACCTGCTTCCCACAGCCAGCCCCCACGAACTCAGGTACAGGAAAAGCCGTAGAGGGGGGTCTCAGCCTCAACACAGGCAGGACAGATGGATGGATGGTGTCCCTGACCTGACCTTAGCACTCACCCTGTGAAACCCAGGTCCTGTCCTGTCTGGACCAAAGCAGAGCCTCCTTCAGGTCGGTGGAGGGAAAGGGGGGAGGAGGTAGGGGCCAGGAGGGGCACAGGGCACAGGCCAGTTTTCCTTTACTTTATTGCCTTTTATTCTGGGCCACACAGAAGCCTTCATCCATCCATCCCTTCCTCCTCATCCCTGGGACAGAGGCAACATGTCTTCCCAGACCCCGGGCAGGTTTGATTCCAGCACCCCCACCATGCCCCTGACCCCACAGTTCCAGGTCTCACTAGGTTCCTCCACTCCCGATCCCTTGGTCCTAGAGTGCACACTCAGCATAGGGAGAAGCTGAGAGGGACTGGCATGCAGGGGTGAGCAGGGCAATGGTGGGCAGCGCAAGGGCAGGGAGGCGCAATCCGTCCGAGCCATCCAGCAGGCATGCTGGCAGGAGCCCAGTGGCATTAGTCACCAACGCACCACACACACTCCCTGCTTCTCTCTGATCCCCTTCAGAGCTAGCAGAGGGGCCCTGGTGCAGGGGCACCTGAAGGACAGGGCCATCCCCGTGGCTGGCAGGTGGAGGGCACCGAGCCAGCAGACGCCTGTGGGAATCTACACATGAAGACAGAAAGTTCTCCATGATTCTTCTTGGCTGCTGCAAGCCTGAAGGCCCTCTCCAGGCCCTGGGCTCCTTGCAGCGGGCTTGCATGCCAGGGCTGGGTGCAGAGTGGCTGTCCTTCCTACAGATGCTACTTTTGTCCCCTCCTCCTCTCCAGGACACACTAGCGTTCCTGACCCAGAGCAGTCCGGGGTAAGACCCAGGCCCATCGTTAAAAGGAATCAGTGAGGGAGCCTCACGGACTAGGTAGGGGAGTCGGTGGCCTGGGGTGAAATGCTGCAGACACCTTGCGCCTGCCTGCCTGCCTGCCGCAGAAATCCAGGGGGGCAGTCAATCTGCGTGGGGAGGAGGACCCGGAGCAGGAAGGGAGGAGGGGAATGTGGGAGTGAGATGAGAACAGCCGGGCGGCACTAGGTTCGAGTCTCCACACTCTTGGCTCATGGAGTGAACTTGGACAATCATTTGCCTCTGAGTCCTGGTTTCCCCATCTATAAAAGGGGGTTGGCATTGGCATTTCCAGGAGGGATGTGGCAGAGAATGCCGTGGGAGTACTCCGCACAGGGCCTGGCAGTGGGGGCTGAGGACCCAAATGTAACAACAGAGGAGGCTGAGGAAGAGCACCTTCCGAGCTTGGAGTATGTAGTGCCCACGAGTCAAGGGGCAAGGGGCATGAGCATTGGGCCAAGAGGGCAAGCTGGGGGCAAGGACTGGGGGCCTGTGGCCCTGGGAGCTGAGCATGGCTATGGCCAGAGGAGGAAAGGAATGGACAGAGTTAACTTGGGGGCCCACCCAGCCCCAGTGAGAGAGGCAAGTGTGCTCTCACATTTGCCCTGAATACCCCACCATGGTTGGAACATACCCCTGTTCTGAAATGCATCCAAGCAGGGACCTCCAGGAACACCAAGACAGACTGGTCACTGAGACAGTGGGGTCCAGCATTGAAGGGCAGGCACGGGACTGACTGGCCAGAAAGAGGAGAGAGGCAAGCGGCCACGCAGCTGGGTTCTCAGGTGGGCACTTGACTGTTGAGCCTGTGTTGAGGGCGGCCAATTGGGGGCACTGGTGTAGGGTCACCCCCCTTTCTGCCCTTGCCTCCTGAAGCCGAGCTCATCAGCTGCCTCTGCACAGGCCAACAATTCAGGGAGGATGGAGAGTTGGGGCGCAGGGCCAGCGCCGCGGAGAGCGGCAGCCACCACAGAGGATGACTACTGCCCCTGCCAGTGTTCCCTAGCTATCTAGACTCAAACTCTCCGGCAGAGTGCTGGCTCCCTTTTGGGTTTGCTGGAGTCTCGGGCCCCTGTGCAGCTCCACAGGTTGGGGAGGGTCTGAGATGTCAGGTTCAAAATGGCAAGGAGGAGACACTATCAGCCTGGAAACCTAGAGGTCCTGCCAGCCCGTTTCCGGGCCAGACATCCCCATGCCAAGATGGAGTACAATGAGTTTTGCCTGGCCTCACAGCGCAGGGAAGGAGCAAGGCTTTCGGGGAATGCAGTGGTTGTCCATGGCATACAGTGACAGGCACCCCGACACCCACCCCTTGAGGGAACCCTTCGCAGAGGCCAGGCCCCAGCCATGGGACAAGAACCTCCCCATCTCACAGCAGAGGAGGCGCCTGAGACTCGGAGGGAAATAAGTGCCTTGTCCAGGTCTTGGCTGCTGAGCAGAACTAGAATTCAAACTCAGGCTTTGGGTGTTGGTCCCAGGCAGCAGGCAGGCCAGCCTGGCACCCCAGGTTCACCTAGACCTTTCCCTTCCCACACTGCCATCTGGGATGATCTGCTTTACAATGGCCACCTCAAAGCCAGGTTTGGCCAAACACTTGCACATACGATTTCTCTGGTTTCATCATTGCAGAAAGTCCCATGGAACCGGTAAACAGCAACGATGGGCCAGGGCTGGGATTCAAACCTGGGTCTGTAACATCGGAATACTCTCTGACTGAGAAGATGATGCCTGAACTGGGCCTCTGTAGGCAGATGGAGGTGGACTGGGCTGGCTTGGTGCTCTAAAACATTAGTGTGAGCTAGGTGTGCTGTGGGGGGTGGGGGGTGGGGGGGTGACGCACAGATGGAGAGTGGATAGCTGCGAGATTACCCAGTAGCCTTGGGAGGTCAGCCCTGCCGAGATGTCTTTGGTACCCACACGGTTGTCTCAGAGCCTGTCCCCTGAGCATATGCCCGGAGAGTCACTTGATCGTTATTGTCTCTCCTGTCTGGTGCATTTTCCTCGGGGGGCCTCAGAAAAGGGCACCGAGGCATCCCTGCAATTGAGGAGTCACCTTGAACCCTGCCAAGGTGGGAAGTATAGCTCAGACCTCAGCTCACAGCAGAGGGTGGCTTCCACAGCAGCCCCCACTGGATCTAGAACTTTGGCATGCTTCCTTGAGCTCCCTAATGGGCATCATTCTCCAAGGGGTACAATTTCTGACTTTGAGGTTCCGCAAACCAACCCGTGGCTGGTTCCCTCACCTTCAGCTTTATTTCTCTCTTCTGTGGGTGGCCCAGAAACCGTGTACTGAGGTGCGTAAACCTCTACTCGAGTCTCTCTCCGAGTGCTCTAGGAGATGGGCTCCCATGTCGGTTTCATCATCCAGCATGTCTATGCTTCAGTGACAGACCCTGTTCCAGGTAATGGGGACACTGTGGACAAGACCCACCTGTCCCAGAACAATGCAGTTTAGGGAAAGAACAGATGTGTGGAGGGGTGGGCAACCAGAGAAAAGCCCAGGCCAGCTTGGGGCAGAGAGACTGAATCATGCTAGCTGGCATCTAGGCTACATCTGAGTTTGATATGGGAATAGAAAAATGCTGCAGGTTCAAAGCAGTCTTGGTGTCCCCAGGCTTGAGGGGCTCCCCAGGGACTGTGTCCAGGACACCAGTCCAGAAAGGTGACAGCATGATTAGAAATGGGGGGGGGGGAGGAAGGAAGGGAAACGCAAGCTATCCAGACACTCCACTATCCAGACACTCCACTATCCAGACACTGCCAGGCAACTGGACTCTCCGCAGCAGCCATCTGCAGCAGCCCAGGGCTGCTGCCAGGTCGTCTCTGACCACAAGGGGCACATTGCCTCCTTCAGGGCCCAGGAAAATGTTGGTGGTACTTAGCCTGGAGTTGCTAGGGTCCAGGGTTTTCAGTACCCTGGCTCAGATCTACCAGCCCAGCCACTTTCTTGGCTCTAAAGCTCTTGATGCAGACACCGGTCCCCAAGACTTGCCTAAGGTGTGTGTGTGGGGAGGGGGGGCAATGTTTACCTCAGCCTGCCTGTGGGACTCTGACCTCTAGATTTCATGGGATCCCACATGGAAGCCAGATGAGGACCGGGACCTGCGGCCAAGCCACCTTTCTGTGGGCCATGATTTCTGCTCTGTGGTGGGACCAACAGACTGGCCTGCACTCCCTGTTCTAAGGCCAGGGAAAGTATGAGCTCTTACAAGCCATTTCAGGGCTTATGGAGTCGACAGGCCTGTGATAGTGTAACTAGCAGGATAGTGTAGTAGCCTTGAATCCACACTGAGCTAGGCTGACCTCCTGGCCTCCATAAACCCTTCTAGGTCTGCAGTGTCTTTATTCTCACACACACACACACACACACACACACACACACACACACACACACACACACACACACACACACGACTTCGCCTGCCGAGTAAAATTCTACCCAGGGGAACAACTCAGACAAAGGGGCCGGGAGGCTGCCAAGTGAACAAGGAGCCCTCCGGGAGCTGGGTCTCATGGACTGAAGTCTGTTCCTCTGGGGAAATGTTCTTTAGGACCCTGCTGGGTGTGATAATCAAGGCACAGCAGCAGAGAGACACGGGGGTGGGGGGGTGGGGGTGGGGCAAAGGTGAGAGGTCAGGGCCCCCACGTTCCCTGCTGGTTTTGTTTCAGTGATGCTCACATATTGCACCCATTTGCTGTGGATGAGACTAAGGCTGGCCTGAGAGCTTATGTTGAGTTGCTTGGTCCCAAGGTCCCAGTCAAATGTATTGTTCCTCCCAGAATCCCTCAGGCCTCAGTCTTCCCTACTGTACTATGGACAGCATGAAGCTCAGAAACCATGCCTGGGCCTGGTGGGATCAGCCTTCATACCTATTTTGTCTAAACCAGGAGGCCCGTGAATTCTAGCATCACTCACTAGCTAGAGTCATGTGGCCATCCCAGCGTGTGCTGCCTGGTGGCCAGAGTCTGAACTGGGAGATGAGGCAAGATAATGCCAAGTGAGGAGCTTTCAGCGGCTAACCTGGCCGGGCAATCTGGTGTTCTCCCTGCGCCCACCACATGGTGTAGTCCTGAGCATACCAGGAAAGCTGTCGGACCCACGGTGGCCACTGGCTCAGAGACCCCAAGAGTGTGTCCTGGACACCTTGTGACTGGTTCTCAACAGAGCTCTAGGTTCTGAGTGGGACTGTCAGATCCCAGAAATCTGGGGAAGGGGCTGTTGGGGACAGGACTGAGGTTTCAGCCTTCTGCTCCTCCACAGAGATCCGAGAAGCCTTCAAGGTGTTTGATCGTGATGGCAATGGCTTCATCTCTAAGCAGGAGCTGGGAACGGCCATGCGCTCCCTGGGTTACATGCCCAACGAGGTGGAGCTGGAGGTTATCATCCAGCGGCTGGACATGGATGGTGAGACGCCCTGCCTTGATTTCCGTGCCCACCATCACCTAGGCCCTGGGTCTGAACCACGGAGGCTGAGTGCACTCTGGACTCCTGCTTCCTGGGTGGTCATGATCGACTAGCTCTTCTAGCTTAGAAAGTAGAGGCCAGAGGAGGTGTGACAGTCCCAGCCACACACAGGGTCCAAGACTGCCCCACCCACTCTGTGGTCTGAGAAAGATTAAACATGGAAAAGGAGGGTGGAATCAATATCTGAGCTCCCACCACCCCAACAAATGGTGGCTGTATTTGCCATCTGGTATTTTATTGAAGAAAAACTCCTAAGAATGATTAGCAATGCCAGTCCCCCTGCTTCAGCCCACCTATTACCTCTTCCCCTTCCCTCTCCCTCCAGGGAGCAGGCACTAGTCAGGGCAGCGGGCTTCATGCTGAGCCTCATTTCCCATGGGGATGGCGGAAAGGGTGACCAGCACTGTGCTGAGGAGCCATGGAGAGTTAGTTCTGAGTGTACTAGGAGAGTCTCCCACATCTGGGGACCATCTGCTGCTCGCCTCCCCCAGCCTCCAGTAGAACCCCATCACGTTTGGTAGCCTCAACATCATCTCAGAGCCTGGCATATTTGGCATCCCTGAAATTGACTAAGGCTCAGGGAAGGGGCTGAGGTGCCATGGAAGGTCTGAGGCAGGCCAATACTCCAGTTCATGTCTTTTGAACTCTGGGATGCCTGATCCTGCCTTCAGTCTGACCCATTCATTAGCCCTGTGCCCACTCTAGGTGATGGCCAAGTGGACTTTGAGGAGTTTGTAACACTCCTGGGACCCAAGCTTTCCACCTCGGGGATCCCAGAGAAGTTCCACGGCACGGACTTTGACACTGTCTTCTGGAAGGTATGCCCTGGCTGGTGGGGACTCTGCCTGAGTGTTAGACCCACACTGTGATGAGTGGGGGGTGACCCCTGTCCACTTGGTGGCCTGCTCCTGGAGGCCTGGGCTCCTTGGGGGAATGGACTAGGAGGTTCTAGTCTTATGGGATCTGGAGGCCTGCTTTTGGGCGTGTGTACCTACGGGGTGCTGGGTGGGGACTGCGGCGGGTAGAGGCCAGAGCGCTTGTCCCTTTTGCCACCCAAGTGTGACATGCAGAAGCTGACGGTGGATGAGCTGAAGCGACTCCTCTATGACACCTTCTGCGAGCACCTGTCCATGAAGGACATAGAGAACATCATCATGACAGAAGAGGAGAGCCACCTGGGCACTGCCGAGGAGTGTCCTGTGGACGTGGAGAGTGAGTGGCCTGCCTTGGGACTCTGTGGGTGGGTCCCAGTGCTCGGCGGAGGGACATACCAGGGGTTTGCATGGGAGTTCCTGGTCCCCAGCCTTGCGTCCTTGTTTGCCCCAAGTCAAGTCCATGTGCCGAAGTGCAGACCTGATTCCATCCCTTCGCTGTCCCTTTGTCTCTCCCTGCTGTTCCCGGTGGGCGGCTGCAGCCTGTTCCAACCAGCAGATCCGCCAGACGTGCGTGCGCAAGAGCCTGATCTGCGCCTTCGCCATCGCCTTCATCATCAGCGTCATGCTCATCGCGGCCAACCAGGTGCTGCGCAGTGGCATGAAATAGGCACCACCGAGTGCCCGCCTGGCACATGCAGTGCCCAGGCTCACTCCACACTCACCGCTGCCTGCAGCCCTTCCCCCAGCTTACCCCTTGGGCCACTGCCCACGGGCACTTCAAGCCTGGACACTGACCACCCCAATCCTCACCCCATAGGCCTTGCATGGAGCCATGGCCCGGCTGTGGAGGACCTGGTGGTAGCTCTGAGGACAGCGCTAGTCCCTATACCCTGCCTGTGCCCTCACCTGGCCTGTATGTAGCGTTAACTTCCCACCACCCAGGAGCTCCTGGGAAAGGAGGGCCTTCACAGGAGTCCCTGGGATCCAGTTAGTGCTGTGATCTTTTAGGCAGGCGAGAAACTCATGTCCAGAGCTGTGGGGTGGGGTGGAGGTGGGCACAAGGCTGGGGTCCTGGGTCCCTTCCTCTGACCCCCCTTAGACCCAAAGCCAGTCTTCCCATCCACCTGTGTCTGCCCATTTCACAGCTGAGGAGCCTGAGGCTTGAGGGGCTAAGATCTGGTTTCAGATTCTTCTTCCACACGGCTTTTCAGGAAAGGCTAATGCTCACACAAGGTGGGCATCAGAGGTAGCTCTAAGGCCCATGAATTTCTGAGCCTTCCACCAAAGTCCTAGAGACTAAGGGCCAAGTTGTCCCCCAGCACAGACCCTAGAAACCCAACTGAGGAGGAAAGCAGAGCTCCTGGGGCCTGTGCGACGTCCCCACTGGCCAGGGTGCACCCTTGGAAGGCCCTGGGCCGCTTCTGAGGGATCTGACTCCCCTGAGGACCACTCTTCCAAGTCCAGGCTCTGCCTTCTGGGGTGGGGGGGCACTTCTCTGTACCCTCAGGGCCGGAGATCCAGCTCTCATCCCTGTTCCACGTGTGCCACGCCATTTCTTGGCACCGGCACAGCCCGGGCAGATGCAGGGCTGTAGCTCTTCAGGGGCTGAGACGGTTGGCAGAGTCCTTGGGCTCCCTTCCCTAGCCTGGGGCCACTTACTATCTGGGCCACAGCCACATTGGCATGCTCCGTGCCCGGCCTGGCTGAGCCTCTACTGATCCCCCAGCAAGAAGAGCTGTAAGCAGAGGACACCCTGGAGGGGAGTTTGTCTCATCCAGCCCACCTGTCCCCTGACGGAGGCAGGAGGACACAGCCAAGAACATGAGTGCCAGCAAAACCACCGAGGATAGACTTTCTTTATAAACATTTGGATGTTTCTCACCCATCTTCTCAAGATATGCCCTGAGGGATGGTGGGTGGGTGGAGAGGCCAAGCTCATAGGCCCAGAGGCTCCAGGGGACAGTGGGCAGGCAGCTCCACTTCCTAGGTCGAGCAACTGTCTTTACTATGACTGGTGACCCGGAGAAGTCAAGCGGAGAAATCAGGGGAAGAGTTCAGCCCCACTGGACTCTGGACTGTAGGGACCATCCTCCAGGAGGGGGTGCCCGCAGGGAGGGGGGCAGCTCCTGCACTGGCGGCCAGCCCACGGGGTACTGGAAGACAGTGGTTCTGATGGGTTCGGTCCTAGAGAGAAGAAAGGCAGAGGGTCAGAGCGGGGGTCTCCCGGATCCACCTTGCTCTCCCACCACACTGGCTGTGGGAACGGTGGTCACCTGCACGACCCTTCTGGAAGCAGAGCCTTGATAACATGCAGACCCTCAGAGCTGCCACCCCTTCTCGGAACTGAGTCCATGTGGGGCTCTAAGCAGAGACTGAACGACAGGAATGGCCCTGGGCAATATGGAAGTACTCTTACACCTGTGGGGAGTGGTTAAACATATATGCACGCCAACAGCAGAGATGCTATGCAGCCTGTGTAAATCAAGGCCTATATGCACTGATGAGGAGAGATGTACTATGTGAGTAATGAGAAAAAGCTTATAAAATAATGTATATAGCATGATACTATTTTTGTTTAAAAATATATAACATATATAAATGCATAAAAACAATCCTGGAAGTCATGGAAAATGTTAACGGTGGTTCTGAGTGGTGTAGTTATGGATCGGTGGAGTTTTTTGTTTGGTTTTTTTTTTTTTTTTTTTTAACCTCTTTAAACTTCTCAAAAGTTTTACAAGCACATAAGCCTTTGAAAGCAGAAAAAAAAAATCTAATTTAAAATAGGGGGGGGAAGCCTTATCTCTTATGCTCTTCACTCTCCTCCCTATTCACCTCCCTAAAGTCGGGGCCCATCTGAAGTGATCCTTAGGAAGGACCCTTGGGTGCAACCTGCAGTATCCAGGCCCAAAGAAGCATGCAGGGAGAAGCATGCAGGGAGAAGCATGCAGGCAGCCTGCCCCTGTCCCACACCCAGACCCTGCACACCTAGGCCCACCTGCCTGATGTCTCGGGTGGAGACTAGTGGTAGGGATGGCATCTGTACCCTGGGCCTGGCACTCGAAGGCCATCCAATGACACAGTTATGCCAGACTACGAGCTCTCATGAGAAGAGACACCATGGCCCAGACAAGTTCTGGAATTCCCATGCAAACCCCTTTCTCAGGTAAGGCAGCTGAAGAACAATGAAGTGGTCAGCCGCATGCTGACCAAGGCTTTACAAGCATACAAGCCTTTGTCACAGCAATTCGCCCTGTTCCCTGACCCTTCAGTTCCTTCTGCCTCAACTTTCCGAAAGGAGAGGCCCTGGCAGCTCCTGACCTTCTTGGGTACCTAGCAACTAGCCCTCTGCAGAAAGAGGGACCTGAGCCTCTGTGAGGTGTCTGGACATGACTCAGGACTGAGAGGTGCTTCTGGGGACCACCTCAATTTGCTTGGCCACATCCATCCAGCCTGCCCTTAGGGCCAGACCCACAGCAGCAGTGCCTAGAGTGGAGGTCTTGCTGACAGCCCTGAATGCAGCTCCCAAACTCCCACTGAGAGGACAGGGAGATCCCCTGCCTGGTGGCCTGCTGCCTGCTGAAAGGCGGAGGACAGGGGCACCCCTCACAGCGATCTGCTGCCTGCTGGAAGCGCAAAAAGCAGCCCTGACATGATTGATGGTGCTGGGGGATTCTAGAAGCTCCACCAACCACAGTGAAGATGCTGTAGGAGAGACTCCACAGTTGCTGAAGGGAGTGCCCCAGATGTCGGCCAACCTGGGGATTCCTGTGGGGCCACGGTAATGGTGGGGCTCCCCCAGGGAGGGGTGGTCTTGGGGAGTTCCTGCCCCCAAGCTTCAGACCTTTCCTTTAACAAGTGGCTCAGCCAGTGGCCTGCCTGCTGAGCCCCCCCCCCCCCCAGGAGAAGGGCATCACTCATGTCCACTCGTGGACACTGACACCTTGCCGGGACCCGGCCTCGGAGCCCACTCCTGCAGAGCCCAGGGTCACAGGTGTGCAGTGCTCTTCATGGCCGGCTGGCTCTGTGTACAAGGGCACAGCAGGAGCCTGGCATGTGCCCAGCTCTGGTCCTTATCAAAAGGAACTAGTCTTACAGGGGTGAATGTGCAGGACAGAGCGCTGGCCCAGAGAGGGGTGCACGTGGGAGATTAAGAAGGATAAAGGGACAATCAGAAGAGCCAACAATAGGAAGCCTGGATAGCGCCGCCTGGCCAGCCAGGGATTAGCCTGTGCGTCCGTCCCAGGTCTGAGGCCAGTCGTTCCCTTCTGCGGCTGCTGTCTGCTCTTGGCTGGTCCCTCAGGGTCAGGGCTGAGGAAATGAGCAGACACCGACTGTCTATGCCTTTGGGGAGCCTGTGTCCCCCACTAAGAAGGAGAGTCAGCCTGGCTTCCAGGGGGTTCTTGACTTATGGATGCTGGAGCCCACAGGTCTGGGGGGTACTTGGTGAGCCAGGTGGCATCTGTGTCCCAGGGGAGAGAGCATACATCCTGAAAAGAGGAGTCCCCACACGGCGTCCTCAGTGATGTCATTCAGGCTAGGGTCCCTGATCCCCCAAATGTGTCTTGATAGTCACCGTGTCCTGGCCACTGTTTCTACTAAAGTTTGCAGGCTAAGTAGGGTTTTTCCAGGAGAAGAGAGAGATAAGGAGGCAGCATCCAGTGTGACCCAAGCAAGGTTAAGAGATGGGCAGTCGGTGCTGTCCCCGGGCCCTGTCCCTGGGGACTAAGCTTGGAGCCTGAGTCTTCCTAAGAAGATACCATAATGGACATCTGGAGGTCTCAGGAGGGATGGCCTGGGGCCAAGGTACCTTTCCAAAGTAGTGGGGCTGCAATGTGGGGAGGGAGGGGCCGCAATGTGGGGAGGGCCTGCAAGGCTGCAAGGCTGCAGAGGAAGCCGGGGCAAAGAAGACAGACACTGCTCCCACAGGATCCTCTCAGGGATGCGGGACAGAACAGGGAAACCCACAGTGAATCCAAAGATGCAGAGGCAGAACCCCAACCTGGAGAGATTGGGACGGAATGGGGACTCATGTCAGAGTAAACCATCACCTCTCTCCTGGCAACTCCTGTCAAGGCTACACCAGTTTGCTCTGCCCAGAAAAGAAGCCATCTTGCCCGGAGCCCTCAGGAGGAGAGTGACTGGGCAGAGACAGACGACAGGTAGCTACAGAGAAAAGCAATTCCCCGGAAGTGTCCAGAAGGAGAGCGGCCCGGGAATCCGGATTCAAACTTCTAAGAACCTAGGGTGGCCCAGATGCAGGCATCTTCCTGACCCAGTCGCTGCCACTGTCACTTCAGATGTGGGCTGCTGGGCCCCTGGGCAGCACTGAACACAGTAGTAACAGAGGAGCCGGCGGCCGAAGCAGCAGGGCCTCGGTTACCTGACCAGGAAGAGCCAACTCCAGAGGTGCACAGCAGTGTGCCAGGCTCCCTGGATGCCCGGGACCACGTACAGGACACACCCTGAATACCAAACCAAGCCATGGTGTGGTCCCTACTCCGGCAGTGACTTGGGCTACTCACTCATCCTGCTCCCCCGTATCAGCCCCTAGCTCCCCTACTCACCCCGGGCATGTCTGTCTGCACTCGGGCAGGGACTTTGGGTATGCTATCTCTACTTACTGGCCACTCAAGCCCAGAGACAGGGTCTTGCTGAACCCTCTCACTGCCCCGTGTGCCCAGGCTGTCACTCACTCCCACGGAAGGAGACTGCTGAGGCAAACAGTGGAGGAAGCAGCCCATACATCACAGTTAACAAGTGGAGAGCTCTGGGAACCCTCGTGGTGGGCTCAGAATGAGTACCCTGCGGCTCTCTGGCACAGCTGACGGAGCCTAGACTCCTGGACCATGTCCAAAATTACATCCCTTCAAACGGGTCCAGAAGAAAGGGGTGTCCCTTCCTGTGGTGTACAGCCCTCTGTTTAGGCTGTACCTGTACTATATATCTTTAAAGTGGGGGTACAGGTTTAAACTAAAAGTAAAATGAGGCTGTAGAGGAGGTTCAGCAGTCGAGAGCACTGGCTGCTCTTGCAGAGGACTCAGCTTTGATTTCCAGCACCCACCACAACCACCTATAACTCCAGTTCCAGGGGATCCAGTGTCCTCCTCTGGCCTCCACGGGCTCTGCACATACATGGTGCACAGATAAATGTGCAGACCAAACATCCATACACACACAAATTAAAGCACTGTGTTTTGAAAAGGTAAACCACAGAGGTGATTTTTAAATGCCACAGCAGGGGCTAGAGGTGCAGGGCTCGGCAGGTGCAGGCGCTGCTGGCCTGGAACCCACATGCTGGAGAGGACCGACTCCTCTAAGTCGGCCTGACTCCCACCTGCATGCCATGGCATGTGTGTGCGCATGTGCACACCTCCTCCCAAATAAATGTAAAAACACCGTTTTAAATACAATATTAATCCCTTTCCACTGGGACAAGAAGCTCAATCTTTACCCTGTGGCAGAGCCTGGAGGAGAGTTTTCACTCCACAGAATGTCTGACAGACATCCTTAACACAGCCAAGCCACTGTCCCTTGAGGCCACAGCACAGAGACATCTGTACAAAGCCACACCCAGCTCTCAGCTTTAGCTCTTCCCCCTGCTCCACCTTTAACACCTGGAGGGCCCGGGAGCCCTGGCCTTGCCTTGGGCTGTGACACCATGTGGCTGCAGAAGCTGCTGCCCCACCGCTGTACAGCTGTCTGCTCAGGGAAGTGTGGGCTGCATCCTGACCCTCTAGAGAGAGGAGCGCACAGCCATACTCTAACAGTGCCTGGCTCAGCACAGTTCCTATGTCCACTTCAGAGCATCCTGGGTCCTCAGGGATGCAGTGGGACAATGACCTTGCTGGCATCCCCTTGCTCTGCTTCCTTCACCAGTGTTTGTGAGTCCAGCTTCCCCTTCTACAGGGCCCTACATGGGACAGTGAGCCCCAGGTACATAGGGAGCTTAGCTGCCATAGGTTTGGCCCTGACCTTTTACAATGCCAGGTGTGGAGTCACATCTGTCTGGCCACTAGCCTCTCCTTCAGCCCTATGGGGTGAGTAGTAAAGGAAGGGACCAAGGGACCAGGCAATTTCTCCAATACAACTCCCTCTAGCTGGGGTTTGAGAACCCAAGACCTTCCAGTGGGCCCCCCCTCCAGGAGGCTGTTGTGGGGGTTCATGCTTGGTCCGTGGGCCTGGGCAGTTCACATGGATGCCTCAGCTTCCCCGAAGGTCAGGCTGGCTCAGGCAGCTCCCAGAAAGAAAGAGGGATAATCCTGGGGCCTGTACCTGCTACTTGGGGCTGAGCTCAGCCTCTTAGCTCTCTTCTCCAGCCAGTCCTCCAGGTGGCCCTCAGGAAGCTCAGCAGTCTCCAGTGGCCATTCTCTGGCCCGCCTCTCCTCTGCGGGGGACAGAATGACAAGGAAGGGTAAGGGACACAACCCCGGTGGCCTGAATCTCATTCTTCCACAAAGCAGCAAGCACTAGGCAAACTCGGGGATGACGGACTAGTCTGTCGGGGGGAAGTGGGCCAGTAGGTCAGGATCAGGTGTGTCCCTCCATTCCACTGGCTCCGACAATGACTCAGTGATGTAAGCCTTGCTCTGCTCTCTGTCAAACAGAGACATGCTGGCTGTCTCCAAGCCTTGGGGAGCTAGAAGCAGGACAATGAATACAGAGCTTAATTCTCAAGAGGGGTCTAAATGTGGGATGCAGGAGGCACCGTGGCCTGTAGAACGGGGTGGAATCGCAGCTCCGGCACCTGCCAGGTCTCTGACCCTAGGCAAGGTAATACGCCTCAGTTCCCTGGTTTTTTCCCTCATCCAGTGTCCCATAAAAATGGTGCTCACTATACTAAAGACAACCAGTGAGTGGAAGGAATTCAAACAAGCTGGTGAGAGCTAGGGAGGGAGGGAGGCTCTCGCTACTGCAGGATGGGGCCTTGTGCTAGGGTCCACACTCGCTCAGGACCAGGCTCTACACTGTCACTGAGTCCATGTCATCTCACTCACCCTCGCAACCGCTACTGCCTCCAAGAACCCGTCCCCGGGCCACGGTCACAGGGCGCTGACAGAGCCAGTGCCATTTCAACTGGCTCATCCTAGCTTTCTTTCCACTGAACACTGTGTTCCTCCCACCGTGAGCCAGCCATTCCCTGACGGCACGTGTCCAATGAAGAGCCCCACGAGGCCTCACTTCTGCCCTGCGAAAGCTCCCAGAACTCCTGCGTGGTGCCAGCCTGCAGGTCCTTCTGCCTGAGTGCTGGCTCATGGAGATGGGGACAATCACCCAGGTGGCACTTCCTGGATCTGTAATGGGACGAGCAGAGAATCCCAAAGGCAGACATGCCGGCTTTCATGGAAGCCACAGTCACCAGGCTGTGAGGGACCTGAACACACTTTTCAACAGGTCTCATGTATTGAAGCTTGAACTAGGTATGTAGTTCAAGTCCAGGAAGACAACCTTAATTAAACTCTTGATCCTCCTGCTTCCGCCTTTCAAGGCTGAGATTACAGGTGTGTCAGCAAGCCCAGGAGGGAAGTGTTTTCTGCAGACTTGTCCTCAGAGGTTGCAGGGCATTTGCTGGTGCTGAAAGGGGACGCTTGTGTTTCCTGACTACAGGAAGGAGGGGAGGGAGAGGGAGGAAAGCATCCACAGAGACTAGCAGAAGGTGAGGGAGGGCGTACCCTCAGGGTCCTGGGAAGCAGCTACATGTGCTTCATTCCCAAGGAACACAGCCCTGTTCCTGACACCCACCCAATGGAACGGCTCAGGGATTCCCCCCCAGCCTGGACAGTCCTAGGCTTATTCACATAGTACACGCCAGTAAGGGAGAAGTGGGGTGGCATAAAGCAGTTTCCTGGTATTACAGCCTCTCCCATTTCCACCCCCAACTCTGCTTCACCCCTACATACCCTCCACCTGGATGCTCAGTTCCTGCAGATCTCGTTCTGACATGTGGGAAAATCTGCAGTTGGAGCCAAAGTCGCACTGGCCTGCAAAGGGAAGAGGTTACTCTCTGCTCAGGAAGGGTTCTACCACAGCTGAAAGCACTCTGACAGACAGGTCTCCTAGTGTTGGGGGCAGGATTTTAGGATCTAGAGTAGCAGCCCCAGTCTGGAAGAAAAAACAGGACTCTGGCACTGCTCGCCCTCACCAGCCTGAGGTGCCACCCTGGCCCATCATGCCCTATTCCTGATGCTCTGCTGGGAGCCTCCATGAGTATTCCCCGAAGCCTGTCAGTGTTGGCCCACACAGGCCTGAGCAGGCCATCCTTCTCACCAGCCCATGCCATGGGGCTCAACGAGCTCCATGTGGATTCCTGAGAGGCTCATCCTTCCTCTCTAGACCAGCTCACTGCACATGCTGTGGCCCTACCTGGTGCTCTGCCTGCTCAGTTAGCCTGAACAAGCAACTGGACTGCTCCTCAGAGAGCCTGGGGCAACTTTGCCAAGGAGAAGTCAATGTCTGGATGGCTTCCCCATTATCAATCAAGGAATCTGAAATATGGCTTTCAAAATTATAGATCAGTGGCGTCCTCAGCTAGCACAACCTACCAGAGCTACCCACGCCAAGGCCGAGTCTGTGGGGGACCCCTGACCTGCAGGCCTGGTGGCCACTCGTCAAGCAGCACTGTCTCCTGAGGGGAGTCTGGCCATTTACCCAGCTCCCCTGGTCCAGCAGCAGTGCCCTCTCCAGAGCTAAGCTCCTGTCTAAACTATGGGAATCCTGCGGATTTCAGCCTTGCTTTGACTGCCAGGAAGCTCAGGGCTAAACCCTTAGAAGAGTAACACAGGCCCTCAAGGACGGGCATGGAAACTAGTGATTCCTGGATCACCTGACTTCCCAGCCTTAACTGTCTTTCCTTCCTTCCTTACTGCTATCTTCATTGTGTGTGCATGCATGTGTGCGTGCGTGTGTGCATGCATGTGTGCGTGCGTGTGTGCATGTATGTGTGTATTATTTTTTTCTAAAGGCAAGGCTTGCTACATAGCCTTGGCTGGGTATGCCTTCACCTCCCCAGTGCTAGGATAAGGGGCAGGGACCACTACACTGTCCTATACTCACTTTTATGAGCTGAGGATTAAGTACTCAAAGGAACACCTAGCACCCGAGGTTCTTACTCTGAACTTGGGATTACTAGATCCATCCCAGTCTCTGTCTCCCCTTGCTGGGAAGGAGGATGCAGGAGATCAGGCCCCCTGGCTAACCTAACCAGCCGGTCTATGACTTCAGTAGTGTTCTCTGGCTCACATTCCCCAGCACTTCTTTTTCTAAATGGGCCAATAAAACCACAGCCTATGCCTGAAGGTCTCTAGGTAAGAACAAGTTCCTGGAGATGCCTCAAAGGACTGGTCAGCTAAAGCCAAGACTACATAGGGGTTCAGGATGGTGGCAGGGACCGGAGGAGACACTGCAGGGTGCCATGCAGGCCAGACAAGATGTGGCTTTTCTGTAAGGACGGAGCTGAACAGAGTACTCACCTGTCAGCAGGAATTTCCTGCAGGGTCTCTTGTTCTGTTCATCTAGCAGGATGGCAGCTGCATCTGCAAGGGAAGTTTGGATTCAGATGACTCCACCGAGGGAGGAGCCTGCAGGGCATGCGTCAGAGGTATGAAATAGTTCTCAGAAGAGCGCTCTCCATCCACGGAGGGGTGGAAGCTGGCCACAGTGGGTAGAGATGGTGGATACAGGCAGCCACACTAAGGGGACCTCCACTCCTCACACCCCTCAGGACTAAACGATGGGGCGGTGTGAGGCTAGAGGCTCTCCAAGTTGTCTGCCAATGGGTTTGGATGGGGGAGGTTATTTGAAAACTCGAGCTCCATGGGACCTCTGTGAACTACCTTCCTAACTCCCTGTAAGTCTGTCCTGAGACAGTCACAGACTACACACAGATGTTCGGCTCCATGGCAGGCCACATGTTCAATGGTGATCTTCTGCCTAGTGATGTCATGGTTGTTTTAGTCTGTGATAGCCACACAACAATGTCTCCCTGTTATTAAGTGGCACATGATATTTCAACATGAAAACTTCCCAGAAAGTCTTGATGCACAGGACTGTGCTCCCTTCTACCCCCAGCAGGGCCAGGGAAGGCTCCCAGTGCAAGACTGTGATGAGCACGCTTTTCATCTCTCCTGGCACCAGTGTGGGGACTCAGAGCCACAGCAGCCACCACTCTGTACAGGACATCCCGGTGATCATTCTGGATGCACGTTTTAACCCTGGTTTCCCATTTCTCCTCTCTTTACTCTCACCATACCGTTAGGGTTTCGTTTCTTTTCTTAAAGTTCCCAAATACTGGCGCTATTGTTGTTAGGTTGACGTTATCTCTGTCAGACTCTATTTTTTTTTAAAGATTTATTTATTTATTATGTATACAGAAGAGGGCACCAGATCTCATTACAGATGGTTGTGAGCCACCATGTGGTTGCTGGGAATTGAACTCAGGAC